ATTAATCTCGTTATTTTTCAATTAATTCCTTTTTTAAAATAATTTCGTTTATATATTATATATATATATATATATATATATAAAGTTGTATTTTTTTGCTTATCTTTGGTTCTCTTTTAAATTTCTGCATTATTTTATAATCCTAATTAATTTTCTTGAAAAGTGACATAATTTTTATACAAACACTACAATAGGGTCCTTACAGAACCTTCGTAAGTTCGACATTAGTACAGCGTTGATGCCGTACTCGAATACGCATGCGCGCAAAGGTGACTCGCATAACAACACTGCGCAAGAGTCGTGCCCGCGAGCGACGCGAGCGCTGCTCCACCGCAGTGCCGTACGTACTAACGTTAAATGCCTGTATTGACTAACGAGCGAGAGCCCGAGAGGAGGCCGTGGTATGTGCACCTCGTCAAAATCGCGCCGCGGATTGGTCGTCGTCGCCGTCCGCGAAATAGCGCGAATCGCGCACGCGGATCTATATGTGCGTGCTATTGCATGGACCATCGTGATGAGCGCGGCCGCGATCGCACGTTTCCAGCGATGGGGGAGCGGGACCGAAAATATTGCGAAAAAGGATGACTTGTTCGAGGAAATGTTTACCCACGTCGATAACGTTTCTAATTGGCTGCGGTGGAAGAGGGACGCGCTTCTCCGTTCTCGACACGTGGTTGTGAGTCAGCTCGTTTAAAGCGGACCCGCGCGCGTGTAACGTATTTCAACGGAATTCCTCGTTGCCATTGGCTATGGAATTCGATTAGAACCGAGCGATTGTCTTCCTCTATACCTTTCTAATTAATGTATGCGTATATATTCATATTGTATGTCCTAAAGATACGATATGTATGTCTGTAGAATCTGTAGGCTTGCAACTTCAATGCCATGGCAACGCAATAGGAACGCCACTCAGATCACGAAGATCCACGTGTTTGTTCCTTATTTTGCGTCATCTCTCCGCGTATACGAATAAAAAACAAGTCCCCTTTTGTTAAATTGACTTTATTCAATTGACCAACGAAATGAATCGCGAGCTGAATCTAAATTTCATTCCCTCCCCTCTGTATCCCTTTTCACAATCCTCAAGCGATTCAAAAATCCTCGCGAACTCCGTCCACGTGGGAGATAATTAATCTCGAATTCACAAATTTCAATTGTCACGCTAACAACGTACTAATAATGAAATGAATAAAAAATATTGGATAAGAGGTCACATTAGCTGAGACATCCCGGAGTGCGGGATTGGCGCTGCGACGATCACAAATCCAAGTTTCGATAACGAAAATTCTCACACTTAAATGTCTTTCTTTTCTTGATTATTACTGTCGCTAATTGATAATTGTAGACAAGATCGCGATGTAGTGATTTAGAGTCCGATGTAGGACACGATCGATATGGATTCGATTGCGATGCTCCAGAGATTTCCAATTTACAAACGTATTTTATATTCAAACTTAAATTCTATAACAAATAGAGGAAATTTCCGTTACCTGATTTATCCTGCTCCGTTGCTCGCACGAGACTGTATTTGGACGACATGCGAAAGCTGTATCTTCAATGCGAGAAAGAAAGCCCTCTAGGTAGAATTTATACAATATATAAGTTCCTATTACTTTCATGGGAGAAAATGAATTTTTAAGTATTCGAAGTATATACATATTACATATGTCATATATTTAAAAATCGAAAATTTTTGAAATCGCCAGATAGCTAGAAATGATTAATATAGAAATATTCTCTAATTAATTTGATGACAAAACGTTTAGCTGTTTAAAATTATGAAATTTCAATTGCATCAGATAGTCGAAAAGGTTCCAAAAATTTCTTAAGTATTTCTTAGCGGAAATTTTTACGTGTAATTCACTACGCAAATATTGAATCTGCATAAAAAAATGATCGCTATTTAATAAATATAATTACATTATAATTTATATATAAATCTAATAATTAAATCATAATTACAATTTAAATAGAATTATGTATATATAAAATTTGTAATTTAATTATATTTAGTAGTAACCATCTCACATATATACATAAGATTATATTATATATTTTTAATATACTATTATAAATATATTATATATTTAAATAATATTGTAAATCTAATTTTTTTTTCTAAAAAAAAATTAAAAAGATTGTTCACTTTTTAGGTCTCTTAGAATTTGTGCGCTTGAAGTTTTTTGCGCAATATTTTGCAACCGAGCACAACGCGCGATTGTTATTGTCTAATTATCAGCGTTCCCAGTATCGCACGTACGAATTGAACGCGCAATACTGGGCAATCGCGAATTATATAACTAAACATCTGCGTAAATTTTTTTGTGGTTATCGAACGAGTCCGGAAATACTTGAAGAGCACAATCAACTGCTGGATTAATCGTTGATATTTAAAATATCTTGCAAATATCACGGCGAATTAATATTAAGGTGCAGTTACAAGCGTCGACGAGCGCCGAGATGCGCAGCATCTCTTGCTTGACGTTAAGCCACAGGCATCTTTAAAGGTATCTTTTCATGTTGCTCGACGCTCATTTTTAGCGGCAAAACAGATCACGTGATTAAAATTGAGCGTCAAACAAACGCCAGCATAAAATATTGCGCAATATCTTTAATTAAAATCAAATACGTCATGCGATCTATTTATCAAGATGAGTCATGATAATGAGTCAATTAACATTGTAAGCATTCAAATCATGACAAATTTAAAATCTTCATTTTTTCAGGAATTAACATTGACGTACGTATCTTTTTTTTTTTAATTCTAATATCGAAATGATTATGACAAAACAAATTAAACAAACAATATTTATCCCAGCACATTTGAAATATTCTTGAAATTGAAATTTCTTTAATAATTACTGAATTTAAATAAATTGGAACATAATCTCAAATAACACATTAAATAATTTTTTATTTCAATCTAAACAATTCTTCCTTGAAGATCGATACTACCTTGCCGCTATTGTCCGTGCGACGTAAGAGAAAAACAAGCGATTCGAACTGTCAAGATACGCGAATTATATTCGTATTTTTTCTTTGTTTTTAACGTAATTACGTACGCTACCGATCGCCAGGCAGCGTGTTAGTAGAAGCGCAATAACCGCACACGACACAAAATAAAATTGATTCAATTTTTATTGATTTACAATGTTTATTCTTATAAGACACAACTTATGGTAAAATAGCATGAGAAGCGATAACGAACGATCCGTCCTATGAGTTACGTACACAATCGTTACTATATATTTTCCTTATCGTTATCGTATTATCATTTATTAATTCTTTTTAGCATATAAACTTTCAGTCAAAAATAATGCATTCGAACGAAATTCTCACTTCCTTGGTTCTCTCTAAACTTTTTTTTAACTACGCGCACTACCTCGGTAATTCCTTTTAAATCTGTGTATTGCCAAAAATACGTGTCTCGCCGATATCGTAATTTTTTTTCTCTTCATCCGAGCGACGTGTGTATCCCTCGCGTTTATTTCTTATTCAGGTTATAAGATTTGTACTGATATCCGTTAGAATATGCTACACCGAAGAAAATACAGAGAGAGAAGGAGAGAGAAAGAGAGAGAGAGACACAAACATTCAATAGGATCAAAATGAAGGTTTACGATTCTCTTCCGATAATTTCTTTAAAATGTTCAGATGTACGACACGAAACTCTGAAGTTCTCGATCAGCGTGCGGCAAGAAGGTATCTTTCCAGTGGAAACAGATGAGTCGAGAGAAGTGGATTTATTCGTGAAAAGACTAAAATAATTCAATTTTGCGCCAGTGATTTCTCTCGATCCGCCCGTTTCCCGCGGAGGACCGCAGCGGAAAATTGTATGCGAGGACAACTTCGACTGAACTTCGATTAAATTAGTCGGTGATTGATTGAACCGGCAGAATCTCGCTTGAAGCAAGATTTTCAATTGTAAATACAATTCATTATTTCTAACTTTTTTCCATCCTTTTTTTGGCGTTATATAACTAATTAATTCTATTCGAGTTAATAAAACAATAGAATTACCGTAATGAATTAATCATAAATTGACTGAACCGACAGAATCACTTGCGAGCAAAAACAAATTTTTAATGTACACAATTCATCATCCTTCAATCTTTTTGTTCCGCACGTTAAAATGTCAATTAATTAATTCTATCCACGTTAACAAAATAACAGTACATTACGTTCTACTATTTTAAATTATCATCGATTTGATCAACGGTTCGTTAAACCGATAGAATCGCTTATAATTAAAGCAAAATTTACACCGCACAATTCGTCCTCGATTTTGTTGTTGTATTAAACGGCAAATAATTAATTCTATCTACGTTAACAAAAAAAATAGTACAGATCTCGCTTCGGTAAGATGAAATTAACTGAAGTCTCGTCGAAGTTGTCCCAAAGATTTCGTCGCGCGCTGCGGAACCTTCCGTCCGATGTCGTGGACATTACAATGACGACGACACATTACGGTCTCGTCGTCTTGAAACGTGAAATTCGAGTGCCGTTTCGTTCGGTCGATTAAAAATTGCTCTCTCCGCGTTGCTCGTTCGCCGACGTGTACTTCTCTCGAGATCGAGGGAATCGCAATCCCCGTTGTTGACGAGCGGCGCGCACCCCGGGCGGCGAGGCGTCGTCTGATACAGTTTCAGTCCTCTAGACGGCTGTCGGCTGCACGCGCACGGGAGGAAGTTTTTAGTAGAAGTTTACAAAATTACAAAACCCCGCATCGCGCAGAAAGTCGTGCGGAAGAGATATGGGTCCGGGGGAGGAGGTAGGAAAGGGGAGCAAAGCGTATTATATATACTCGTATATAAATATACGTAGAGGAGCAGTCTGATCGGA